GACTGCTCCAACTGGGGGACAATGACTGGATCCTCATGTACTATAAACACAGACTGGTCTCACAGTGGAGTGTACTGGTGTGAGTCTGGATCAGGAGATTTTAGCAACGCAGTCAACATCACTGTACAGGGTAGGTTATGATTTATATTTCCTTTCACCTTTTCCTGTTTTCACATACTGTAAAAGCTGCAGTTACTGTGAACATAAAAGAAACAGTAATAGTAGTTGTTAAATGATTTGTTGTATTTGCTCTCCAAGAAAACTTAGAAGTAAATAAAAAAGGTGGTAAAATATTTTCTTCCTTCAAAATCATTCAGCTGAGCTTCTTTCTTTCACTTTTCTGTTTTTCTTCATGTGTTTAAGTAAATGTTTGCTCCAAGGTATTTTGCAGCAAAAATAACAGATAGATCCTCTCCCTGTAGAACAGAAGACCTGAAAGAGAGTTTATAATAGATCAATAGAGTAGAGTAGAAAAATAGAAGTATTGTTTCTTCAACAGAGCAAGATAACAATTTACAGAAAATGTAATAAACATCTCTCATAATCCTTCTCTTTCTAGAATGAAGTTTCCTTTAAGTTTCTATTTTTTCTAAAATGTTTCCTTTTTTCATCAGAAATGTCTGAGCTGCAGCTAATGACTATTTTTCCTTTCAATTAGTTTTTAAAAGTTTAAGATTTATTGATTGATAACCTGATCTGATTCAGGTGGAGTTAAAACTGCCACCTGATGAGTTCTAGTTAGAGAACATTTTTTAGATAAAGAAGAATTTTCATCTGAAATCATCCAAATTATTATATATTTTGTACAGTTTCGACCTATTTCCTGCTCAGAGTTAGTTTTTCTTTTACCAGTTGGCATGTTATACAGACTGATTACTTGATTACATGATGTTTGATTCAATAATAAATTAATTAGTAATTACAATTAATCCTAGAGGGTTTCAACACTAACAATTTCTTAATTTTTTTTACTTTTTAGAATCCAAATGCAGATAGAAATATATATTTTGCTCTGAATACAACACATTTTGTGGAGAATTCTTTGTTGGTTTTATATTTTCTTAGTATGAGATAAATGAGAGCAGAATAACTTTAACAAAGATCACTGACTTCAACACTGAAGACCAGGATCAGAAATGTTTAAATGTAATTCTGCAGAGAACTTAAAATGGAAACATGCTGTGATTTTGCTTCAGATTAGAAACTGAAATAGATCAGATAACAGGTCTACATCCAAGTGTCACAAAAAGCTTATAGTTTTCTAGGAGAATGTAATAAAATGAAATAACAACTGATAAGATAAAGCCATCCTTTCTAATCTTAACATGAAAAATGAGTGAAAAAAACACCAACATTTTACCTTCAGATATGAAATGATTACATGAAACATCCAGAGATTAATCCCAAATCTCAAGATCATATATGATTTAGTGCAATGTTTGATTATAGGGACCTTTTTTTGTAATTAGCATAAATTCAGAACAATGAATAATTTCTGAAAATCTGACATTCTTGTATTGTTAGTAAAAGGTGCTCTGTCCATTACCTTGGTTTAATTTCCAGTGATTAAAAAGCTACTTTCCAAATATGACAGATATTAGACTTTTCTAAAGGTCAAAACTGATTGCTGACCAAAACCTGATATTCTGACTGTTTTACAGATAGAAATAACGGTTTTAACATTGGACCAATTATTGGAATCGTTGTCATTATCCTAATTATCCTGCCGCTGCTGTTGTGGTGCTGCATACGCTCAAAGGGTGAGACGCTCTTTCTTCTCATATTGTGGTGGACTATGTAGTGACTTAATACTTAAACAATTAAATAATTTAAATCTATGTTACTGCTTTGACAAAACTGAGAAATAAATTAATTTGCATCACAATGTAACAAATGTCCCTCTTTTTGTCCACAGATTTCTGCTGCATCAGGTCAGTACATCAGTGTTCACTTTCCTCTGATTTTAAACATTCATCATCATCTATTCTTTAAATTTAAGTTGAACTTTTAACATAATTTAGGTCAGAAAGCAGCAGTCAGAGCTCCACCACCAATCATGGAGTCAACCAGACAGACAGTCAAGTTTACAGCTCTCTGCTGCACGGTTAGTAGCTTTGTATTTGATTTAGACTTTGAAATAACTTCCTAAATCTTTGAGTTAGGGAAATGTGCTAAACTCTACTTTTTGGAGGTTTTTCATTGTTACTGTATTTTCACTACCATAAGGCGCACCGTACTAAAAGGCGCAGTCTCAGTTATGTGTGCCATTACTGTATTTAACACACACATAAGGCGCACCGGACTATAGGGTGCGGGTTTTATATACAGGTACATGTCCTCTTCTATGTTTAAATACCTCTACTGTGTATTTAAAAATAGAGCGGGAGCAAAAGTGAGTTTGTTTGTGCTTTATTCATGTATTTATTACAAAGTATTAATCAAACCTGGGAGCTGGCCGTGAGACAGACACAACGCAGATGACACAGAGCGCTGTGATCACTCCTCTGAAACAGTTTACTGACGCATAAATTAACTTAAAATGCAGAAATCTGGCGGCAGAATATGTTTGCTTTTATTATCCTTGTGCCTGCAGTTTAGATTGTACCAGTTAGTTCTGATGTGCGGAGCTATCCTATCCTTTCTTTGCCTTGCAGCTATATTTGCTGTGATCAGTGGGAATAAAGTAGTTTTAATATGTTTTTAAGTGTGAAAATTCACCTGAAAACTTAATTTATCAGCAGCCTCTGGCCGGGTCGCCTTTAAGTTAATTTAGGCGTTAATAAACTGTTTCAGAGGAGCAATCACAGCGCTCTGTATCATCAGCGATGTGTCTGTCTCGCTGTTAGCTCCCAGACCAGCTTCTCTGATTGGTTGAAACTTCAATTTTTCCATCTCCAGCAGCAGCGCGTTTACGGCTCATCATGCGCGTCAGATGCTTAAACACTCCTGTTGTGCAAAAATAATGTCCTGCAGATAATGAATAGATGGTTAACTATAACTGGAGTTATAGTTAATTATTATCCTATTCAACATCGAAGGCAAAATCAATTTAATGTTCTTAGGTGGATAATTATAGCCCTGAATTATCTACTTACCGGTTGTTGATCCACAACTGGAGGGTTGCGGGACCGGCTGTTAAAATCCAGGTATCCACCAGTCTTGTGGCCCCGGTTAAGTTATCAGCAA